CTTTAATGGTATCCTCGTAAGCTAATGGAGCAAACGAAAGCATGTGGCCGCTGTGCGTTGTAGTTCTTATGGCAATGAAGCATATTAGCAGTTTATCGCTAATGCAGTATCCAGTTACATATCTGCAAAAGAATGAAACTACCTGCGTAATTTGTCTATTCTAAGGTTAGCCTGAACGAGTTTTGCATCGAAAACAGAAGGCAAGAATACTAAGCAGATTTTTAAGCCATATTAATAATTTCATTTAATAACAGTTGCAACTCCAATACCAAACGAAAATATAATTTAAAACACTTGTTTAATTTGATGCGTAAGCGCAAATACAAACAAGACGCTGTAATTACCTTAAAGGGCCAGAGAAAGTTGCTGGCGTATTTGAAATTTGACCCCACTGTGAATATTTCGTGGATCAAGTCTTCAATACAAATAATGTCGTGCTTACCTGAAAATAACGAGTATTACAACTGTTTAATAACGGCCGTTTCCTTGCCTAACTGCTTTTCGATCACTCTGTTGTCAGAAATGGGCACTCGCTGGCCATTAACTTTCACGAATCCTCGTTTATAAATCAGCTCTCGAACAGTTTTCATATTTGGATATCCCCATGCAATATACGGTTCAACTATGCGAAGCATGTTCACTGTCGCTTTGTTGATCTTCATAAACACCCCATTATTGATCTGGCGGAGTCGGAACAGTTGGAGTATTTTGCGTACGCGAGGATGAACGCCATTAATACTAAAAGCAAGGGTGTACGAAATGATCATGTATAATAAACGCACTTATAAATGGCATCATTTAGCTTGCAGTTGCGGTATTCCTGACCATACCAACTTCGACTTCACAGAGAAACTATTAAACCACTAATGAAGCACGAAACAGTCAGAAGCGTCAGCGTATATGCACAGTCAGTATCTAATACTTTCACATTAAAGTTGTTAACGATATTATAGTTCGAGTTTGACAATCCAGTTGCCCAGGCGACAGTGTGAGAACCGTAATCCTCCGCAAAAAAGCAGCACGTCCAAAAGGCAAACAGCAACTACAACGAAGCATTACTAGAGGACACTGAAACGTCTATTCTTTGGCAGAAAAAAAACAACAGTCGCTTGATGCAACAAACAAACAAATCGATTCTATCGGGTGATCAGATCACCACAACGAAAGCAAAGGTAGTGATACTCTTTAGTTTCCACTGAGAACTGTCAAACAGATGACCCCACAGGAAAAGTCCTGCGTTGGCGTCATGATAAGAGAGCGAAAGCTGACTTCGATGAAAGAATATGATTTATTATGAGTGTAGCACGGAGGAGGTAGAAAAGGCCTTGAGACGGGTTTCTGAAATCAGTTCTGGCCGGACATTTCAACACGGCTGTGAGAAGTTGAAAAACAAAAACGGATGACTGATGCGATATAATATGCTAATGCTGCAAGCCTGCTGGAGAAAATAAAATTCACCCTGCGCGCAAAAGATCGCGAGCCGTAAAGTGCAGGCTGACTGGTTTATGCAGGTTTCATATTTCTTCAAGGGACCAAACAGCAGTTTCAGGTGGTTGCCGCTATGTACAAAAAAAGGACATGAGAGACTGCAGCAGTAATCGGAACGAGTTCTTCGGTTTCTGTCTGTAATTTCCCTGAAATTCTGTAGAGCACAAGATTTAGTGTAAGAAACCAAGCTTTTGTCCTGGCCGAAGCACACTAAATCATATCTTCATTTTGCGTAACGTCTATACCATAGCATGTAAATATACGAAAGGCGCACACGAATGTTTAACATATCTCGAACAGGAAATTGTCAAAATGCACACACAAGCCAAAGCTGCGCCATGTCACAAAACTCGCGCAGGTGACCAACTTCAGAGGCAATCAAATCTTATACCACTGATCGAAGGTGGGTCCTAATTAACAGCAT